AGGGGGCTCGATTTGGGAAAGCAAAGGAGGCGATTTTCTCTCCTCCAGAAGACTTAGGGCCGAAATCTTGAAGGAGAAAGAAGGAGTTTGCTTTGGCTTGAAGATTGAAGATTCTATTGAGCATCTCTTTTCCTTTCTCTCTCTATGTTTCCCCTAGCTATTTTGGTGTTCTTGAACATGATGTGTGAGTAATTTCTTGTTGTGGGATGAGGTATTAGCCCTCATGTAAGGATGCTTGTATTCACCTTGGACCCAAGATTATGCTTTGTTTATGCTTTCAAATCCTTGCTTTGAATGAAATTTGTGTTCTCCAAGTTTATCTCTCTTGAATGAATGTTTAGGGAAACCTAGGATTTGTTAAATTGAGTGATGCAATTGTTTGGGTTTTGATTGCTAGAGGTTGATTGAATGGTGTTTAATGTTACCTATTGGATGAGAATTTTGTGGGTAGATTTTAGGATTGTGAATTACATGGAGACATGGGTTCTTGGTCTCTTGATGCATTCAATCAATTGGGTTGAAATTGAATCCGAAGAAATTTGATTCGGTTTAATCTAGGATTATGATAAGGGAATTTAATGCATTCGGGATTTTTCTCTAGACCATGAAAATGGCTAGAGTGCTCTCTTGGATAGCGGGTTTTCGGTTTGAGAGAACAGAACCCGACCTTAGTCTTCGAATTCCTCACCTTAGAACGAGCATGATCTAGGTCCATAATCCTTTACGGCATCCTTGCATGATCGGTGAAACCCGATTCCCATAACCTTTCCCATCGATTATCTCCTCTTGAATTGTGATTGTCTTTGATTTTACTTTCTTTCTTTTAGTTTTCTGCAACTTACGAAAACCAACAAAAACAATTCTCCAATTTTATTTTCTCCATTTTCCTAGTTTTAGTCGATTCCTAGCTTAACCGCTTAAGTCCTTGTGTTCGACCCCGGTACTACGACATCCGTATACTTGCGGATTAGTTGTGTGTCGGGTATAAATTTAAAGCTCGTCACGCAAGTGATCATCTAATCAGCATATTGACACAATATTTTGTTTACCATATCTGTATATTTTCATACCTGCATTAGGGCTTCTCTTCTTTACATGGTTGTATAAGTCTCTGTAACTCTCTGATAATGAACGTCGCTTCACCATCATCTCTTGACCATACCTTTACATAGTATCAGGGATTTCTGTCTAATTACATAGATCCATTCGTTGTCCAATCATGTCTTCATCGAGCGACAACTCTACCCCGACCCCTAAACCGTTTGTTGCAACGTTCAATCCGGCAGAACCGCAGAAGAATCTCTTCACGTGCAACATATCAAATGTTAGAAACTGACGTCCACGAACTATTTCACTTGGAGCGTGCAAGTTCGTGTGTGTCGAGGGACACAACCTCGACGGCTTTATTTCTGACACTTCGGAACTGCCCTTGGTAACTGTCACCATCGATGGAGTCACCAATTAATGCCAACCCGAAATTTCCCCATGGAAACAACAAGATCGACTCATTTTCAGTTCTCTTCTTGGTGCCCTCTCGGTCAATCTCCAACCCATCATTGAACGCTCTGTCTTGTCAAGGGAAGCATGTCGAACATTGGCCAGCACCTATGGAAAAACATCAAGGGGACACATTCTGTAGCTCTCTTATCAGGTGAAAAGAAAAGAAGCACGAAGGGAAACCATCCCATCGATAATTATCTCCAAGCCCATGGATCACGAAGACATATATACTCGAGGCTATTCTTGACGGCTTCCCCAAAGATTATAAGTCGGTCATTGACATTGTCAACGCCAAGGACACTGCAATCACCATTGAAGAGCTTCATGAAAAGTTGCTCAATCATGAAGCCAAGATTGATGCAGCCTCTCTGTCCCTGCCTCTGAACCTTCTTGTGACACTCGCTCTCGTCGTCCGTCTTCAGGCCACAGACAACAAGGCCAACCAACATCAATCATCCCAGTGCCTCTAGAGGGTATCGCGATCGATGTCAAGCCTTTAGAATACAAGGTTGTTGGTTGAAATGATATACGATGATCCAGGATATGACATTTTACACTTTGTATGGATTCATTGGCTTATGAGTGTATTACTTTTCCTGTTAAATGATTGACGTGTTTGTTATATTTTGATATTCTTGAATCATTGCAGAATTATTCTAAACTCTCTGGTCAATTATCATCGTGGGAACAATGATGAATTAAGACCAGCATTATGTGTGATTGATGATCATGGTAATGATCATATATATTGGATGCAAATCACAATCATGGGTATTCGTTAGGAACGAGAGACTGGATGACCCGCATAGGATTGTAACATGGACACGAGTCATGACTTGAATTTTATGTAGCGGTTCGTTCTTTGATCCTCAGACCTGAGATGTCTAGAGTATCTGATATGAGGATTGGAGTGTCTTGGCTGCGTCAAATGTCATCCGTAACCGGATGATTATAATGTGTTGTTCAGATATGTTCACGAATAATATGGAGATTGCAATACGAGACTTGTCACCTCTTTAATAAGAGAGATATCATTGGGCCCCCTCGCGGAAATTAGATTGTGAAAACGCATGGCCACGCTATAAATGAAGTTGCATCTATTGTGTCAGTCGATTTGTTGAGACGAGAAAGCGGTTAACTTGAACGGTGGCTGGCTCCATGCCCTTATTCAGCATATGATATCGCGAGACAAAGGATCAGAACTTGAGATGTTACTGCATTGGTTAGATCACCTCTAACTCAATTCGAGATGGGTAGTCATGGCATCTTGCTAGAGGGCTAACCATGACTTATGATTCGGGAAACATTCCGAAGTCACTGCCACTTAGAAAGGGGCTACAGGGTCACACTCCACTAGGGATGGACTTACACGTGAAGAATTCAAAGAATGGAATCAATAATTGACCGAAACGAGCATAAGAATGTGTTCTTAGTGTCTTGGTCCAGAGCGAGCTGACAAAGTTTAGTCAGCCCCGGACCACGCTCGGTCAGCCCAGAAAGCTCGGACTCAACCCATGTCATCTGTATAGGTTTGGAGTTCCATGATTGTTATTTTGTACTTGCCATCAGTAGGAACATTATATCGATTTCATGCTTAGACTCAGATGATTTCAGATTTGTTATTGAAAACAAAGGTTTGTTCATTTATAGAGAAAATTTATTCTATGGTAAGGATTACCAGTTTAATGACCTTTATATTTTGGATGATGAATCATCTAGATACATATCAATCTATAACGTTAGTACCAAATGGTTTAAGCCGAACGATTTAAACCCGACCTATCTCTGGCATTGTCGACTTGGTCACATCAATGAGAAACACATTGCGAAGCTCTATTCTGATTCACTACAAAAAAACCTCAAATTCCAACCGGCAAATCCGTTGGAAAGGGTCGAAAATCCGTTGGAATTCAACTTTTCCAACGGATTTCCAACGGATATATCCGTTGGAATATCGTCGTTAGAAATCGGTGTCCGTTGGAATTCCGTGGCAAATTCCAAACGGAATTCCAACGCCCTCGATTGCCAACGGTTTTTCCGTGGTATATTTTCAACGGAATTCCAACGGATTTGTTCGTCGGGATATATCAACGGAACTTCCAACGGAAATCCGTGGCTATTTTCCGACGGGGCCGTTAGAATATCCGTTAGAAATTTTCCAACGGATTTACAACGGTATTTGCCACGGATATCCGTTAGAATATCCGTTGGAAAAGAATAACCGTTGGAAAACACAAAAAATAAAATAAATATTTAAAAATAAAATAAATAAAATATTTATTTTATTTTTAAATATTTATTTTATTTTTTTATTTATATTTATATATATTATATATTAATAAATATATATTAATATATATAAATAAATATATATATATATATAGTAAAACCAAAATAAAATTAAAATATTAAAAAAACAATTGTTCGAATATTACAAAAATATAAAATAGTTTCAGTAATAATAATTAATTGGCACTACGGGTTTCTTCGTCTTCGCTAGTCCCGAGATTACGTGCCGTTGTTTCTGCTCCCGAGCTTGGCGGCGTATTGTGGAGTGGTCGATCACCCCGCATAAGCTCAACGATTTGTTCGAGGTTAGTCACTTGTTGCCTCGTCGCCGCAAGTTGTTGCTCGAGTGTCTCGATCCGTCGTTGTTGTTCGAGATCACTCTGCATGCCAGGAGGAATTGCTGCACCGAAATCATCGAACAAATCTCGTTGCAATCCTCCTAATCCATAGATGCGGCCCTTATTTGGAGAGACCGACTGAAAAATTAAAAAAATATTTTAAATTGAAATAAAATATTAAAATATAATATTTAAAAATGAATTATTTTATGTTTTACCTCCACATAACAACGATCTTGGTCCGATGCAGAGAGACCGGATGAAGAACCCGCTGAATCGCCAACATTTTGCGAGAGTTGGGTGAGTCGTTGAGTTACCGTGCTTACAACTCGTTCCGCACGGGGATCGACATATGTCCCATCAGACTTTTTGTGTGTCCGAGCGACCAACTCTACGATTGATGGCGTTCTCCCAATTTCTTTCTCCTATATATATATATATATATTATTAACATAATAAAAAATCTAATATTAAAAAACTAATTAAAAATTAAATTAAAGTTTAAATAAATACCATCTCTTTTTGCCTCTTCTTGAATGATTTAGCACCGGAGGTATGACGATGAGGCCCATCACCCTCGAATTTTTGGGACAGACGACTTTGTTTCGCCTTGGAACTCTTGTTCTTGAAATGGTCAGGAAGTGCAAGTGTCTCCTCGTAATCATCATCTAGTCGGATGGGAAGAACCGGATCTTCGAGTTGCTCTTGCATGGGCTCATCGAGATCTTGTGTTGAACCATTTAAACAAGACCGTTTTACCTGGTTTTGTGAGTCTGAATATCGGCACAGGTGCGTGACCATCACGTGTCAACTCCAACTCTTTTCTCTTGCATATATCTTTCAAGTCCTTCCTCGAGTTGATGTTATCTTTACTTTTCCCTGGCACATTCAGAACGGTGTTGATGATGTTATCAAAAAAGTTTTTCTCTATATGCATAACATCCAGATTGTGTCGAAGCGTTAGCGAACTCCAGTAAGGCAAATCCCAAAAAATACTACGCTTATACCAGTTATGCCAATCACCAAATCCTTTGCACTTCTTATGCCCAAAATTTCCTCCACAATGCACAGAAGCTTCCAAATCATCCAAATATCCACTATTTATTCGCTCAGAATAAATTTGCTCTCCGGTTTGCATAACAGGACCTTCCTCAGTAACGATTTTACCTTTGGTAAAAAGCGTACGATTTTGTCTTAACGGATGATTCCTTGGAAGAAATCTGCGATGACAGTCAAACCAGCACGTCTTTCTCCCATGTCTCAACTGAAACGCTTCTGTTTTCTCCATGCAAAACGGACATGCAAGTCTTCCATGTGTGCTCCATCCCGATAGCATGCCATACGCCGGAAAATCACTGATCGTCCAAAGAAGAACCACTCTCAGTGTAACATTTTGTTTCACACTTACGTCGTAAGCAGGGACTCCAATGTCCCACAAATCCTTCAACTCCTTAATGAGCGGCTGTAAATACACATCAAAACTCTTCTTCGGATGTTCTGGCCCAGGAATCAACAATGTCAAAAACATAAATTCTCTTTTCATGCACATCTCAGGTGGTAAGTTGTACGGAGAAAGTATAACGGGCCATAATGAATACTGCATGCCAGATTGTCCGTACGGACTAAATCCATCAGTACACAAACATAGATACACATTCCTAGGCTCAGCAGCGAATTGAGGAAATACCATGTTGAAGTTTTTCCACGCCAAAGCATCTGATGGATGTTGCATTTCTCCATCAACGGTAGAATGCGAGGCATGCCATCTCATATGCGAAGTCGTTTGTTGTGATTCATACAAACGCTTCAATCTGTACGATACTGGCATATAGAACATCTTTTTATACGGAGTTTGTCTCTGTACATTCTTACTCGGACGGTATCTGTTAGTCCCACAGAATTTACACCTAACCAATTCTTTTTCTTCACCCCAGTACAGCATGCAACCATTTTTGCAAACATCAATCTTTTCATAAGGCATTCCCAAATTCTTCAACATAGCCTTCGTATCATAATACGATTCTGGAGCTTCGTTATTTTCAGGTAAATATTCACGCAACGTTTGACAAAATGAATCCATGCAATTTTCGGTGACATTGTAATCCGTTTTCATACTCATCAATCTTGATGCAAGAGATAAACGTGACTGACCTTCTTTACATCCTTCATAGATAGGATGATTTGCCATATCCAACATGTCGAAAAACCGTTTTGTTTCGACGTTTGGCTCCTCCTGATCTTGTGATAAGTTTTGCTCAGCCAATGGCGCCCCAGGAAAAGCATCTGTCACCATTTCAACATAAGGATTTCTTACATCTTCATCTACATCATACCTCTGCTCGGCCGAGACATGTTGTCCCGTTGTGATTGTCCGAACTTCTTCTCCATGAAATCGCCAAATATAATAATCTTGGACAAATCCCCTTCGAAATAGATGTTTACAAACATCTTCTGTACTGCGATATTTAAAATTGCGACAACTTGTACATGGACATAGCATTTTTCCACGTTCTTGACACAACGGCTGCATAGAAGCAAAATTCATAAACTGTTCCAAACCGTTAATGAATTCTTGCGTTACCTCTTTTGTAATCGAATCAACTCTTTCGTATATCCACTGTCGGGACGAACGAATATTCGGATTTGTTGAAGATGTCATTTTTAGGAGAATTTTTCGTAAAAGAATAGTATAAGAGTGATTTAGAGAGTGGTTGAAGAACCACTCTCAGTGTAACATTTTGTTTCACACTTACGTCGTAAGCAGGGACTCCAATGTCCCACAAATCCTTCAACTCCTTAATGAGCGGCTGTAAATACACATCTAAACTCTTCTTCGGATGTTCTGGCCCAGGAATCAACAATGTCAAAAACATAAATTCTCTTTTCATGCACATCTCAGGTGGTAAGTTGTACGGAGAAAGTATAACTGGCCATAATGAATACTGCATGCCAGATTGTCCGTACGGACTAAATCCATCAGTACACAAACATAGATACACATTCCTAGGCTCAGCAGCGAATTGAGGAAATACCATGTTGAAGTTTTTCCACGTCAAAGCATCTGATGGATGTTGCATTTCTCCATCAACGGTAGAATGCGAGGCATGCCATCTCATATGCGAAGCCGTTTGTTGTGATTCATACAAACGCTTCAATCTGTACGATACTGGCATATAGAACATCTTTTTATACGGAGTTTGTCTCCGTACATTCTTACTCGGACGATATCTGTTAGTCCCACAGAATTTACACATAACCAATTCTTTTTCTTCACCCCAGTACAGCATGCAACCATTTTTGCAAACATCAATCTTTTCATAAGGCATTCCCAAATTCTTCAACATAGCCTTCGTATCATAATACGATTCTGGAGCTTCGTTATTTTCAGGTAAATATTCACGCAACGTTTGACAAAATGAATCCATGCAATTTTCGGTGACATTGTAATCCGTTTTCATACTCATCAATCTTGATGCAAGAGATAAACGTGACTGACCTTCTTTAGATCCTTCATAGATAGGATGATTTGCCATATCCAACATGTCGAAAAACCGTTTTGTTTCGACGTTTGGCTCCTCCTGATCTTGTGATAAGTTTGGCGCCCCAGGAAAAGCATCTGTTACCATTTCAACATAAGGATTTCTTACATCTTCATCTACATCATACCTCTGCTCGGCCGAGACATGTTGTCCCGTTGTGATTGTCCGAACTTCTTCTCCATGAAATCGCCAAATATAATAATCTTCCACAAATCCCCTTCGAAATAGATGTTTACAAACATCTTCTGTACTGCGATATTTAAAATTGCGACAACTTGTACATGGACATAGCATTTTTCCACGTTCTTGACACAACGGCTGCATAGAAGCAAAATTCATAAACTGTTCCAAACCGTTAATGAATTCTTGCGTTACCTCTTTTGTAATCGAATCAACTCATTTTTAGGAGAATTTTTGGTAAAAGAATAGTATAAGAGTGATTTAGAGAGTGGTTTGGACGAATTATGGCCGAGTGCTTTAAATAGAGAAACTTTCCAACGGATATCCGTTGGAAATCGCTGAGCAAAACTTATCACAAGATCAGGAGGAGCCAAACGTCGAAACAAAACGGTTTTTCGACATGTTGGATATGGCAAATCATCCTATCTATGAAGGATGTAAAGAAGGTCAGTTCGGAATTATTACCGCGTTTCATAACGTTCGAATAATTTCAACGGATTGCCGTTGCAATTCGTCAAACGTTATTTCCAACGGATTGCCGTTGGAATATACGTGGAAAATTTCCAACTCAAATATCCGTTGATATGCCGTTGGAAATCCGTTAGAAATGCGTTGGAATGATTCCAACGGGATACCGTTGGAAATCCGTTGGAAAAATTACAACGGATTAATCCGTTGGAAAAATCCGTTGGAATTTCGCAGTTTTTTTGTAGTGATTGACTTCGTGATTCTTTTGATTATGAATCAGTCGAATCGTGTGATTCTTTTTTGATGGACAAGACGACAAAACCTCTTTTTACTAGAATATGAGAACGGGCTATGGAGTTACTAGAACTCATACATAATGATGCATATGGTCCTATGAGCTCGTCCGTTATAGGAGATTATCTGTATTTCGTTATGTTCACTGATGATTTCAATAGGTACGCTTATGTCTAGTTGATGAGACATAAGTCTGAAACTCTTGAATTATTTAAGATTTTCAGAAACGAGGTGCAGAAACAACTTAGTAAGACGATCAAGTTGCTTCGATCTGATCGAGTTGGTGAGTATATGAGCCAAGAGTTCACTGACTATCTAGCAAATTGTGGGATTGTCTTACAACTGACTCCACCTGGAACGCCACAGTGGAATGACGTATCTGAGAGGAGGAATCGAACCCTATTAGATATGGTATGGTCCATGATGAGTCAGGTCGATATTCCTAAATCCCTTCGGGGCTACGCTTTGGAAACGACAACACTTATACTGAACAACTGTCTAACAAAGTCGATTAAGAAGACTTCATATGAGATTTGGTTTGGAAAGTGTCCCAGGTTGTCATTTATGAAGATTTGGAGATGCGACGTTTATGTAAAATATCTGGTTTCTGATAAACTATCCGTCAAATCTGATAAATGCATATTTGTGGGGTACCCTACGGAAATTAAAGGGTACTAGTCTTGGTTTAAAAAAGCATGAGGTGGCTCAAGGCGCAAAATATCTAAAAATAGAGGTGCGAGGCAAGGCGAAGGCACGCGCCTCACGGATGCGAGGCGCATAAATAAAAAATTATCAAAAATAAATTTTAAATATATTGTAAATATAAAATTTAATTACCAAATTATCTAAAATAAGTCCAAGTAAAATAAACAAAGAGAAAATGCAAATATTCATTTGTGAAATATTTAATCAAAATCGACATCTTCGTATTCTCCATCATCTTCATAATCTTTATCTTCATCGATATCTTCTTCCTACTCATCGGAATAAGCAATACCCTTTCCTTTATGAATTGACGAGGAAGAAGTAGTACTATTTTTTGCACTTGTTGATCCTCTGGTATGATTACTAGGATCATGGGCTCCAACAGTTCTACCAACTTGACCCCATGGGCCATTGTCACCATTAAACATAAAATCATTGTCTTCATCTGAACTACCTTACATTCTACCAATTAGTCATTCATTACTTTCATCAATATTTTCCAATATAATAGGATCCTTGGTGTCA